TCTTGACAACATATTGCAAGTATTCATAATTGCTGTTTAGATCAGGGGAGGAGAAACCTTTTCCTGGGCCTCTCTGGATTCATCTGTTGAATATATTTCATTTGGATGATGTACGTGCATGTACATACATATCTTCTACAATTGTTTTTTTGTTCCTTTTCGTTTATTTGTATTCAATTGTAAATGTTCCCTAATTTAAATTAAGAACTTGGGAAAGTTATTATAATTGATAGTTTTGTGTATATAAAATACAACAGGTATAAGTGGGAGGGTTTGTCTTCATGTAAGTATATTTAAGAGTTTTGTGCTTTATTGACACTGTGTTTCCGTTGTGGTGACCATTTTGAATTAAAATATCATTTGATTTGATAGTATGGTGGGCTTGTCATGTGAAAGTGATTTTAGTTGGGAATTGAATTTGTTGTATTCACAGAGAATTGCTTTGTTGAATTACAGGGCAGTGACGCTCGGTTATTAGCTCCAGTTATTGACCCATGAATGACTGCTGTACCAAATACATGTAGGTCATAGTGTGGGTCATTGTTCATGCTATTTGTAGATATCTCCGTATAACACAGTATACTAACCAGAATATAAACATGTTATTAATTAGTTCATGTTTGTATTTGTCTAAATGGAATACTACTTTTAGATGAAATTGTTGAAAACTACATTCTTGTTTGTTCTGGGTCAGTTATTTTTAGTTTCTGATCGCTTAAAATATAGGGAATCCTATTCTGAATTGAATTTTAAAATGAATACAAAAAGTGAATAACTGAAATAAATCAGTAGTTTGTTCGTAACCACAAAATTCGTTTGCCCTATGCACTTATTCCTAGGCATCTCACTACGAAACAAAGTTGGTCAATATTCTAGCAACTGATGACACAGTGGTAGGAAAGGTCAATTTTGCCTAATATTATATGCATGTGTTTTTAAAATGTATTTGTTGATGTTGAAAATTATGTGTGTGTCGAATTCGAAGGGTTTTAATGCATGCCTCCCAAAGGCTACGTACTTCGCCATTGTTCTAAATATAAACGCCCTCACGCGGCTGTGACTGGCAATTTAAATCTAGCACCGTGACGTCATATCGTCTGATTAATCCATGACAACATAGGGGCATTCACTCAAAAACTTTCTGGTGAGTCACGATTCTTGCTAGTTGCCAGCAAACTATGTGGAAACCGTTGAATTTATTCACGGGTCATGTGCAAAGCTGTGTTCCATAGAGATGCTTCCTACCAATTGGGCAACAAACTTTTAGTGTTATATTTTCTCAAGTCTGAATTTTCTTATCCCACTCTTGTTGAATTTTCAATTTTTAGCAAATTTTTATTTTTAAAGCATGACAGAGTGTGCTGCCTGATTGATCACAAATGTTTAAAAAATAAAATAAAATAAAATAATGAAACGTTTGTATTGTAACTAACTAGACCCTAAAAAGTACTATCTTACTGTGAGACAAAGGTGGTCAATATACTAGCAACTGACGACAATTTAACCTCAATGCTGCTGTGCTTATGACCTTTTCTATATTAAATATTTTCAGTACGACCGAATTTAAAACCTTGTATCAAATTTCTGATTTTTCTAAGTAACCGGCAAAATATTTGAGTAGCCACGGGAAAATGGCCATATCACAAAATCAAATTTTGATGTGAGGATCCAGGCATACTTCAAACATTACACAGAAATGTACTTCCTAGAGTAGTTTAATTTCCTGCGAATCAGTGGTGAAACATGTTGAATTGTTTATTAATTCATTTTTATTACACATGTTGTTTGTTTGTTGAGCGGAGCGGATCTCCAAACAGCCCACCGGCTTGTTATATTAGTAACCAACTGAACACTGAAAATTCGGGGTTATGTACAAGCTGAGCGCTGATTTTATGTACCAGTCGGTGTAGCCTGATTGTGTAGTCTGTTCTGTGTAGACTCGGTCCATGATGTCCCATAAATGTCAAATACTGACAGTAGGGAGTCATAGAACAAATACGTGATAATTCCATCTCCTGCTAATATTCAGAGGATATTCTAATATCTATGAACAAAATATTAAAAACAAAAATTTAACAAAGTAAGCGACAATAAACACGGCAAATCAACATGCGTATACCTTATTTAATATTAATTTCTATAAAAAATTACAAAATGTTCATCGCAATACTTATTTGGTATTCACAGAGACACAAACTCAAAAACATAAAGTTTGATTATAAATAAATTTTGATAATTTGGTACTGTTTACTATAATTACATCAAAACAAACTGTAGATACTATCCTTATAGTACGTAATCAAAACACACTGTAAAAACTATTGCTGAAGCTGTGATGTACTCTTTATTCAATCTTAAAATGATACTCTGTTGTGGCTGAGCTTCTTCTACAAACCCTGATTATATTGTATTTGTTATGTGATGTCGTTATAACATCATTACTCTCATGTCGTACCTTTGTTCGATACGTATTTGGTATAATAGTTCGGAAATGTGCCGGAAGGAAACAGGGCCCTCTATACAAGTAATATTCAAAGCATTTATAATTATATTTCTTGGAATTCAAGCAGATAGAATTAAGCTTTGAGCAGACCATTTGAAAATGTGTATATGGAAACCGAATTAGTTAATGCTAGTCAGGGCAAATTTTACCATTTTTTTACTTTTTACGATAACCTACATAAATCTTTCATTTAAGGTAGAAGACTACTCATAATTTTTGAGAAGTTGGTCATAAATCGCATGACAATGTTCATTGGTTTATTGTGTAAATGCATGGAGCTATTGACCCATGGCGCCATGAAATTACATTTTTTTGTGTGTTACAGTGATGTATTTTGAGAAACTTGTACTAGTATGTTTCAAAAAGTGCTATTTTTAGAACAATTCCATAGAGCACATTTTAAGACCCAGATTTTTGAAATAATTGAGAACAACAAAAAGTACCCTATTATTCTCAATATATAATTTTTCAGTCTATGTCATCTGACTACAATTCAATATATAGCATAATATCTCTACCATAGGTACCTATGGTAAAAGCACTATAATACTACCAATATGGCCAATATCCACTAAAATACAACCATCATTTTCTCAAAAATTAAGCTGGTGACCTCCAACTTTTTAAGGCAATATTTTTGGATTGCCTAAAAACGTGGATAAATTCTGGGTATTTGAAATCATGAGTAGGCTTCTACCTTAACACTAAATGATGCAGTTTATTCTGCGGTCAAAATGTATATTCTTGGGGTTTATTTGAACTCAGGGGACAGTGTAGAAAATATCTGTTTTATATTATTCAAGCAGTAACAAATAAAGTTAAAAAGTCATCTTGACAAAAGTCAGTACAAATTATGTTGTTAAAATCTCTATTTCTTTTTGTAATGTCCGATAAAAAAAATTATAATACTTTGGTTCCTATACTTCTGTCTTTTATGTATTGTAAATTGTCGACAGTCGTTATGTTGCGCCCTCATTCGGTAGATTACTGTGATCAGACTCTTGCATCGTTTGCAAGACAAATTCCATCGATGCAACTCGACTATTAAAAATATCCGCGTCTAAATAACGTAAAACCACGATATCGACTGTCATTGTAAATTCTGTGTAAATGTTATCACATTATAATAAATTAGTATTGTCGCGTAATTGCAATCACAACAATTAAGTTAGAAATTCTCCGAGAGATACTCTGGAACAGGACCCTTGGTCGTGTCCATAATATTGGCGTATTTCAGGGGCTTACATACAATAGGAACGTGTTAATGATATTTTGAAAAATGGGGTTAATTATACGAACAACTCAAAACACGTATTTTTTTCGAGGCACGCTCCTTTCATGCAAATGTTGAGGTGACCTCTCTTCCATTTAATTCCTGTGTCGGTCTGTAGTTGTTTACCATGTGGTCGTTGTCCCCAGGCAGTTGTTGGTTCTCCGCACTAATGTGAAGTGTTCTGAAAATTTCTAACTGAAAACAAAAATAAAAAAAACACAATTAATAAGAAATTGACACGTGATAACAATGTATGTACGTATTTAGATGTCAACAAAATGCTACGCAATATATGACATAGACTGGCAAAGTCGGGAATTCTTTTTTTGTTTTACAAGCAAAAATATGATTAATTCTCAATTTAGCCTTTTTAACGTGATCGCGAAAACTAGCGTGACTGCGAAAGAAACTCCGACTGGACGCTTCTGCAGGCGACCCCTGCGCTGGAGTGAAAACCGGAGCGGAATCACTCCGGTGATTATGCTAATTAACAGTTGTTGACTAGCATTGACAACGAATCAGAGTGCAGCTGATACGTCATATCTTATCTATGTTAATGTACGTGACCTTTCACTTCTGAGGTCCCGGAGATTTTGAAAGACTACTTATATACATTGGACATTTAAATCGACTTCTTTTCAGTAAACATGGATGAAAGTATCGCCTTTGCACTTAGAAAGTTAAAGTATCCACCTCTGCGATCGAATCGAAGCAACCTTTCACCTAGCCACTCATGAATAATTAATAGCAGACAAATGCCTGTAGATGCGTCCAGTCGGGATTTCTTTAGCGGTCAGGTTAGTTTTCACGATCACGCTAAAAGGAATAAAAGAACCAGACTTTGCCAGTCTATATATGACACAACGTCACTTTTATCGCAGACTAGAAACCCAACATGTTTTTCAGCAACTTACACTGACGTGCTTTGGATTGATGCAATTAACATAAATAGAAACCTCTGCAAAGAAAATTAATTAATGGCAGTGGCGATGTTTCTACCGATTTTGTTTTAGTTATTTGTTAAATAAACAACAACTAAAAAGTCATTCACTTGTTTTTTGACGTGATTATGATATTACCTGTGAAGAGGATAATTCGATTGGTTCTTTAAACACAATCCAAGATACAGTTTCATAACATGGCGGAGTTGTAAGCGATCCTTGGTAGGTCCAATAGTCAAGAATATTATCTGCAATTAAGGAACAAATTCACATTTTTAACAGTGTGTACGGTATTCAACTTTATAATACGTTTATCTTGCATATACTGTTATATTATACTTTTTTCAGCAGACATTAATATGCTACTAGTATTAACTCCATTAATCGGCAAAATAATAATAATGTTTTACCTGGCAATAAACACGATGGATCAAATCCACCTTCAACTGCGCAACTGTCACCCTAGGGGTAATGGAAAATATGTATTATTTTTATCAAATCCAAAACATTATTGCGCCCAGAATACATATAAACTCAAGGCTCTGGAAAGTATACTAACCAATTGGAGTTATATATTACGTAATTATATTAATGCATTTAAAATGCGCCCTCTAGCGACAAGGCAATTCTTGACAACCGTCATTGTCATTTTGATGTCGGTGAAGTTTTCGTCGCCAGAG